TAGTTCTTATCACTGTAAGTCTTATTACAAAACCAGAATTTTAATATTTCCATTATTTCAGGAGATATTGCAATAGGTAGAAGGATATTATACAAGTATTTTTATAATACTATTCATTACTAGTGAAAAATTGTCATACTATAAATTAAATAAATTACATGCAAAACAAAAAAAAAAAAATTATATATTTTAGATAAGCATAAAATGGCATTATGTAAAATCATAAAAAATAAACTGACCTTTTTAATGTACAAATATTTGAATCTGTATTAATGGTTGCTGCTAAGTCCTTCTCTGGTGACTTAACTCGTTTTGTAATGATAGTAGGAGGTTCACATAACGAATTATCGGGTGATGGTGWTGTTTTACGAGGTCCTCTTGTTCCTATTAAATAGATTTAGTCATACATTAAGTTTTAACAAACAATAAAAAATGTTGTTTATTTATAAAATAATAAAATTATAAATCTTACCACACATGATACATTTAGAACTTTTAGGCCAATTTTGATATGTACAAGCAGCACAAGACCATTTGCAAAGTGCTAGTGTTTCTAAACTTGAAGAAGCCTCTTCATTTTCTGGTGAATTAGCTCTATCACTGATTTTCAAATCAGTGTTGAATTGTTCGTTAAGTGCATCAACTAGATTGCTATCTATTATTTTATCACAGTTATCAATTTCCCCAGACGCTAAATTCATGACAACAATAATTAATCAATAAATGGTTAATAATGATAAATATAACTAAATTTTACCTTCAATAAGTTGAGGTTGAGGTTCAACAGGAAGTTCATCTCTAAGACTATATATGTCCTGAGCTTGGGACAACTGCAGTTTGGGTCTTCTACACATGACACATTTCAGCGATGAATGGTAATTATCATAAGTGCAAACATCACAAGACCATTTAGAATTAATTTGGGTAGTCATTGTTGGTTTTGAATCTTCCAATTTGTATTATTTAGATTCAAAACTAGTATTTATTCATAACACTGTAATTTACGATAAACAAGTTAATGGCGAAATACAAAACATAAGTATTGAGTATAGAAAATATTTATTTTTTTCATTTCATGTCAAGTGGTGGCCTATATTAAACAAAAAAAWTATTCTGGTCAGTAATTACAACCTARCTAAAATATACTACTAATTTCAAAATCAAGTTGAAGGTTTGGCTCACCGCCGTCAAAATTTTGCGACTTAATAATATCGTTCTTGTGACATAGCGGAAAAGAAGAATGACACACAATGATCCATAGCACTTACTTGTAGTATAACTGGATAAGCAATGGWTTAATGTCAGGATCGTAGTCTATACGGACAAAAGTTATAATGATTATGCATTYAAAATGTATCACCGCAATACTTTAATAATAATATATAATTAATAATAATAATAACGACAATTAAAACTAAAAAACAAAAACAAATTCACTAACAACCATCACCTACGGAGCTGCAGTCGGAGCACGGGAAAAATTCTGAATAAAAATAAAAAGAGAAAGACGAATATGATTACGGTGGACGGTGATAAGATGTTTTTGTTCACAATTAGTCTACATGGTAAAATGGGAAAAAAGGTACAAAGCAATAATTGGCCGTGTCGTCATTACGCACTAGATGTTAGGAACGTGCCAACAGCTGATGCCGTATCGTATTCGTGTTTCGTAATAAATCGTAATAACTCGCTACAACTWTTTGTGCATATTATTATTATTTTTTATTTTCAATTTTTTACTTAGTAGTTAGTACTTTATTAAAATTCTTAGTACACAAGTGCATAATATTAAGCATTTAAGCTTTCCAACCTACAGTGTACTCGCAGTTACATGATATATGATTATTTTAACATAATATGTATATTTAAATATTTTGTCATTTTGTGATGGTAGTACAGTAATTATAGCAGTACTGCAGTTGTACTACAATACTGCTACAGAAATAACTAATAAGTAATCACACAGAACAATAGTACCCACTAATAACAAACCCACTATGCATCATGATGACCTTACCCACATTATTGTCGATTTTGTACAACGCATAACGCCATAACGGTATGAGTGTATAACAMWAGTAGGTACTTCACTCCTCAATACTTCACCTTTCTGCACTACATTAGTAGATATTCAGTTGGTAGGTTAGATTTTTATTGTTGGCTTTCGTTCTGGTACTTGCTTTTTTTTCGTGGGGAGGGGGAGCAAAGTTAGTGATCCATTTGACCACTTATTAATTTATTATAATATATCTCGACATAAGTCAATTTATATTTAATAATTTTGATTTGAGTAATTTAAACATCATACTTACCCAATATAACTTAATTTAAAGTAACTTCCATGACGTGTATTTGTTGTGTAGTTGCGTTGCTGTCATTATTACACTGTTTTTTTTTTTTTTTTAATTTATATATTTGCGGAAATTACGAAATTTCAAAACAGTAATATAAATTTTATGGTCGTTCTACACAAGTGATGTTCTATTGTACGATAAATAAATCAATAGATTGTGACTGGAACGCAAAATATTTTTTTTTCAGATTATATGAATTAATTGAAGACATATTTGAAAATAATATATCTTTTATCATATTTAATTTAAGTTAGTTACTTTTTTGAATGACAATTTATATGTTTAATTCCATATTCCGAAGCAATATATTTTTTTAATAATTTTGTTTTATAAAAACAAACTGATTTCATATTTACACCAATACACCATTTTGTTTTATAAAAACAATCTATTTAATATTTACACATTCCCACGGTTAGGTAATAAACTAATAACTTATAAGTTAATACAGTAGTCACTCGATAAMTTCGAAAAACTTCATAAATCGAACTAAACGCAAAGTCCCCTGAGAAAACCTCTATAATTAGAAGAAAATACATGATGTATTCCGGTCCCCTCGATAATTCGAAAGGTCAGTCGGTTCCTCAGTGGGACGTGGGGCACATTCTATAATTCTAATTTTTATTCCACGAACCTCTATGATTTGAATCAAAATCTTGCTATCAGGAAGTTAGACAACGCTATTGACCAGATTGTGTTCAGCAATTTATCACAAAAAAAAAAAAAAAAACAGATTTCTTTAACATGTAATATATAATAATATGTATTTATAATAAATAAATGTAATATGTACATACATAACATTTTTCACCTCTTTTTAATTTGAATTAATTTTTTCCTCTCGATTATTCAAACACTCAGACTCAGTAAATCTTAAACTTCTATAAATCAAATTTTTAACTCAGTCCCTTGAATTTCGAATTATCGAGTGACTACTGTAGCACTATAACAGCTATTTAGCTACTATATTGARTACCTATATAGTAACATAAGTGCAACTAGAGAAATTTTTCTAGRTGGCCAAAATTGTATCAGCAGAAGTGCAAAACAGACCATAATAATTGATATTTTAAACTAAAATATTATTTCAAATAACCGAAGGCTACCGATAAAACCGGAGGAACTAATCGTTACAAAGTGTCCAATGCCTCCCCCTCCCAATTGTGCATATGACGATATGACTATACTATTATAGTAGAATTAATATTTAGTTATTAGGCATACGGCGTATGAAATAAATAATAATATAGAAATAATTATGAGATGTTACAATATAGGTAGATATGTTTTTATTTTTCGTTGTCCTTTGTCTAATACATGGTGATTTAGCAGACAGTAGTAAATTATTTATTTTTTTTTTTAGTATATTGCAGTCCCGCCTGAATTTATTTAGTATGTAATATTTTTAGCCATATTTAAGTACCTTTTTAACAACCTATAAGCGCATATAAATTGTATTAAAATCATAGTTATTATTGTAATTAAAAATTGAGATTTTACAGCAATATTATATTATGATATGGTTATCTACCTAGTACCTACCCATGGGCGGATAGGCCAWTTTTGGCCTACCGGAAAATTTTAAAAAGGGGCCTCCACATAAAAAAAAATTAATAATATATGATATTAAARGGCCCCATTACTGAAATACGAAGGGGGCCCACCGGGAAATGCCCGGTTGTCCACTTATGTACCTACCTACCTATGGTAAATGGTAATTATGAGAATATAATTACAAAATCTAATAAATATTCTACGTCGTCTCAACTCCCAATAGTTTTATAAGAAAAAATGTTTAAAATCTAATCATTAACTTAAATACCATTTTTAGATTTGAATCTTAACATATTAATAAAAATCAAAAATATTTCATTTTCTCWTGGMTATAAATAGTGTAGACTTGCGTTGAACTTTTTTTCTTGGAGAAAGCTAATAGGTAGAAGAATTTTTGTGGATTATTCTATTAACATTTTTAATGTAAGCAATAGAAAGAAAAACTTTAATGAATTTATTATTGAAAAATAATTTACAAAATTTGAAAAAATTCTCATGATTGTAAATATTTCAAAAAGAGTCAATATAGTTAGAACATTTTAACATGCAAATGCAAAATAGTCATCTTAACATTGGATGAAAACTTCGAGTGTTGAACTACGGTTATGAATTACAACAACATTTTATAAATTAATAGATGAAAATCTGTTAATTTATTAGTGAATATCCAACATCGTAGAGACGTAGAATTTCAAACGTATATAAACCGAGTCATATACGGCCTGTTTTTTTCGAGTGGGCGACCGTATCAATTAGGTTTACTTTCTCTAGTCTTCATGATAATCGTGTTATCAATTTGATTTTACTGATAAATTTATAAATAATTAATTTTATAACTAGTTTGGAGTCTTGAATCTTGAATATCTTGACAGAATAGTAATTGTTTTGTTTCTAAATTCTTAAGAATAGATTCTCATGTTATACTCTACTTTACTAAATTAGAGGCTACTGATTAGAGATTTAAATTTTAAGCGTTTTCGTCATTTTTGGGAATTCCAGAATTTATGTGCTTTTAATAATTCTTTATTAATGTTTTAATTACTACTCGTGAAAGAGTTTTACAGTAAGTTTTAACTTATAAGCATTACTGCATTAGTAAGTTTAAACCTATACTACTTAATTACATAYTGTACAGTGTTTGGTACCTTAATTTTGTGAAATTCAAAACTGTGTGTAAATAATAGTTGCTTATTGTGTTTACCTATCTATCATTGATAATTCAGGTTGGAGAATTAAGTATTCTAATTTCAACAAAATATTTCAAAGAAAAAGTCAAAATGCCTAAATTGGAATTGGGATGCAGAGTTGAGTTAACTGGAAAAAATTTACAAGGCAAAATAGCCTTTATTGGACAGACACAATTTGAAACAGGAACTTGGGTTGGCATCATTTTAGATGAACCTAAAGGAAAAAATAATGGTTCGGTCAAAAATCGTCAAGGCGTTTCAAAAACTTATTTTGAAGTAAAAGTTCAATTTAATCAATTTAATGTTTAACTTTTGTACATTTTTATTTACTATTTTAGTGCATTGTTAATGATTGTATAACTTAAAATCTCTAACCAGTAATAGGGTATTAAGAAATTAAAATTAATTTAATCCATTTTTGTCTACCAGTGTGAAGAAAATCATGGTATATTTGTACGTCAATCTCATCTTACTCTTATTGATGAAACAGGAGCACGTTTTGATATGTCTGCTAGCACAGAATCTTTGGCTGCAAAATCATCTGTCAAGTCTCGGATAAGCAGGTAAAATAAATTCTTTGTTTTTAAAATAAGTTTTAAAAGTGTAGACATATTATTGTTACCTATTTACTTATTTTAATTTGTATGGTTTAAATACCATTTAGCCTGCGAAAAAAAATTGATACTAATGCGTAAGTTTGTTCTAAATATTTTTGAATATTTATGTAGGTCTTTATAACATATTCTTTTAGTTCTAGGCAGTCATTATCTGGTTCAAGTAGATTAAGCTTGATTGCCCCTAAAAATAAAGATGATACATTTACTTCACCTGTTTCTCGCACTTCTTCTCAGTCATCATTGGTTGGTACAAGCCGTACTCCATCACAATCATCAATTGCTCTTCCTTCTCGTACCTCATCACAGTCTTCAATGCCTGCACCATCACGTACATTGTCACAAACATCTCTTGCTGGAATGGATTCAACACCTAAACGTTCTTCTTTTGTTGAGGTATTTTACAATTTTAAATATTTTTTTAATAATTCTTTAATAATATTGTAGTGTTAAATGAATAACATTTTAATACATTTTAAAATGCACTTTTTTATATTGAACATATTCATATTCATTTTATCATAGATGTTCGCCTTGTTTTATTTTGATATACGTGTGACCGATTGACAATTAATAGATATCACATTACATAATTGTGTAGTAAAAATATACACGTATTTTTATATATTTCATTATTTAATTATTAGATAATTTGTGTTCTTTCTTATGTAATGGTAAGTTTTAAGAAGTAATACAATTCTTTATTAAATATTTTGAATAGTCGTTTGAAATATTTTTATTTAATTGTAATCTTTAGGAACCTTAAGTATTTTGAAA